AAACGTTTTTTTAAAAACCGAACCTAAAAGAAGGGGGGGAGGGGGAAAAACACCCCCCCCCCCCCCCCCCCCCATCTATGAAGGTCCACGTTGTATGTGTTGTTAAAAGTATATTTATTGTATAATTTGGAATCTCAGATTTATCCCTTTTAAGTCACCTAAAAAGAGCTCCCGCGTGACGTGGTCAATTAATTTATTAATTATACAGCAGGAAGCAAACATGTCAAAGATGAATGAAAGGGAGTAAGACGCACCACCACCACCACCACCAACCAGCAACGTATACTAATAGCACCTGTCAACGTAGACTGGTCTAGTTAAGTGTACTGCTCGATGCGAAAAGACCCTTCAATTTAGTGGTAACAGGGAATTTGGAATTGGAAGAAGATGAGATGTATTGGAAGAAGAAAGCAACAATTGACACGTAAACTGAAAGATAGAAAATCAAAAAGACCATTAACAAACCTTTTCTATAAAATCTGTGACCATCCTTCAGATATGTTTGCGGTTCTCCAGTTTCTTCAGATCTTTTCATCGAGGAAAATGTGCACTTCTGCGCTACTTCCTCCAAAAATGCGTCTGATCGTTCAAAGCCGAGAAAGGAATTTATTTTTTTCACAGAGGCTGGTAAATCCTGTATTAAAATAGTGCAATTAAGCAAAGCTTGTTATGTTTTGATGCTGCATTAATATTAGATTTTGTAAATTATTTATTATATTATATCTCAACTCTGCAGAACAGTGTTAGCTTGTGACGACAATCCGCAGAATTCTAACCATTACAATAATGCAATTGGAAAATGCTGTTCCCATATCTTTTTTGCAAATTTAAGATTTTAATTATACATTGTGTCACTTATAATAGATTTTACTCGGGCATCGAGGGAATTAATAGTCGATTAAATGTTGAACTAAATACGCATTCCTCTGCATACCTTAAGCATATCTTCGTAAGTAAGAAATAAGCAGTTGGGATAACTGTCCACTCTCTTACACATCTCTTTGGTATGGTCAAACCAAGAGCCGTAAGGAACTAAAATGAGTGAAATGCACGTTGTTAAATACACATAAATTCAAAATAATGGACATCGATAAATTTCTGTATTTATTTATTTATTTATCTATTGCCTTTTTAGCATTTTTTCCAATGTCTTCAGAGTCGCACCCTGCAAAGCACTGTCAAACGGCCTTTAGACGTGGCAATGAAATATTGGTTACTACTAACATTATTAAGAGCAGTTTTTTAATTCACTAATATCAAAGATTAAATACGGCGAGGTTCACTAGGCCATTTGGAAAAAAATGTTGCAAAGCGCGATCTTAAGTTGTTTAAATGCTTTCTGATCACAGTACTGGTGTATTCCTGACTGATTTATGACTGTCTGTCAGCCATCTTTGAAGAAATTTCCCATAAATCCTTCGATTTGGATTTGCAAATTTAGAACAAGAGAGCATTGCGACTAGCGCCACACCTGGACCCGAGCACCGACAAAGCCCAAAATTCATGTGAATCGAGTTGAGATTATATGTGACCTTCACACAGGAGATGGATACTGGGGCTCTTGTAGTTTAGGAGGAGAAGCGGTAACGGTGACGTGGGGAGCACCCGGTGAACGATACAGCTCTGGACTAAAACCACGTGCACCGCCGGCGCCGCGGTGGCAGTACTATAATTCAGTAGTGCTATTTTGTAAAAAGAACAAAAAACTGTGTAAATTTGTAAAATGTTTTTTACGTTTATTGAATTTTATTTCTGAAACTTTTATAGAAAGTTTTCCATATCTGCAGTATTTCATTGGCCGAGAAATTGCAGCTACACATTCAGGAAAGTTGGTGCACAAATAAATTATTTAACTTATACATCCTTTCATGATTCTTACAGTAGACTGAATAACAATGCTTTACGTAACATTGCCTGTCATGCTCATTACATCAATAAAAAAAGAATATCACTTTATAATATAACCTTATGCAGGTACGTGGAGTGCTTATGAATATTTACTGACAATAGCTCTTCTGAAAATGGACATGAGAAAACACTCCTAGGGGCACTCATACGTTTTACCAAGACCTTATACGTTTTGCCAAGACCAATTAACCTTTCTACATTATTTTTAATGCAACCTGTCCATCTCTAATTAATGTGCCTGGGTCAAGTTGTGACTTGCCCTTTAACATAGAAGGTGTGATTATGGACATCCACTAGTGGGCTTGATTTGGTCTTAAAGTGCAATTTAAGATCACAAATAGTCTAACATGATCTTAAACCATGAGTAAGACCAATTCTGGACTGACAGCCAATTAAGTTG